TGCAGTGAGGGCGGTGACCTTAGTCACTGTCCCTCCTGTTTTTCGGAGTGCTGGTGCCGAGAGTTCGAACGTTGCCACTTGATGACGTGGCTCAAGGACGCGCAGAAAAAGTTGCGCGCCTTCCGGGTGGGCGGCATGTCGGGGTTTCGCTCCCGAGCATTCGCGTTAGTTCACGACATTTGCATGTAGGACCATTTCACGTAGATTCCAGTTGATGGCCGATGCACCTGCTGGAGAACGGTCGGAACGCCGAGAACGATCCAGAGACCGATCTCAGACGCGAGAGGAGAAGCTTCTGAATCTCGGTTGGGGGATGGAGGAGTTCAATCCGATCGAATGCAAAGATTGGAAACCCAAGCCGAACCGTTGACACAGACTCTTTCGGCTTTAGGTCCAGTGTTACAGCAAGTCCTTCATACACAACAAGCTCAGCAGTCGACTTCGAACATGCCTCAAAGGCCAGATCCACCTGCTGCAGCTCCTCCCCCATCTTTCAACCCAGGCTCTGTTCCACAGATGCCCGGAAATACGGAAATACGCGTGATTCCAACACGTTGCCCAATCAGACCAACAATCCGAATGTGCTAGACCCGAATAGATTTGATGTGTCAGGAACTCAGCCGTCCGATCCATGACAGGCAAACCATCCTTGGAGAAATTTCCATCAGACTCCTGCCCAAGCCGCTGGGATTCCTGATCAACCATTCCCAAACTAGCATGCCTCAGAGTCCAGATCGTCAGAATCCATTCGAGGCTGCTCAACCAAGTAGGTATTCTCAAATGCCATGTCCTCCCGGATCGTGTCCGCCTGGCTTGAGCCAAATCCCAATGAGCCAAACAGGTTTGTTTCAAGGTATTTCTTCGAATCCAGCATCGATTGCACAGCCCCACGTTCAGATCGACACACCCCATGGTTCGCATCGTGAGACAGGGGAAGACAATCCATTCAAACGTTCGGAGCGTTGGATGCCAAACATGCCGCTTCCAGCTTTCGACGAATGGAAAACGATGCCATTGGAGATCACTGGATTCCTTTCATGGTTAACTTCATTGGCCAGTTGCACAGGTTTAGGCTCGAACACATACCTTTCAGAGATCATGATGTGTATCAAGGAGACTGAACCTTTGGGGTGGCATCGACTTTCGCCTAGTCAGATAACTCGTTCGGTACGACTTTTATCAATCTTGAAGACATGCTTCAACAACCATGCACGAGCGAGTTTGGTGATTCGTAATTATGAAGAGGCAAAAGGTTTTGTCCGATGTTGTGGATTCGAATGTCTCCGACTGATCGCCCGTGAATTCTCGGCTAAAACAAGAACAGAGCTCCTTTTCTTTCGTACACAATTGGCAAACAGCAGCATTTCGGCACCGACTATTCCCGAAGTCATCCGAAAGATCCAATCAGAATTGTTCCAGTACGAACGCGTCGCACAGCTGGTAGATCCGAGTGTCAACATCAAGGGCCTAGAGTTCGTCGAAGCCGACAAGGTTCTTGTTTTGTCGCGAGCTGTCCCACAGCCGTGTCGACAGTGGATTGTGTTGAACTCACCGGATGAATCGTTCGCCTCGTACGTTGAGAGTGCACTACGATATGAAGCTCAACAACGCATTTGGTCCGATGTTGGAGGTTAAAGGTAAGAAGGGCAATGGAAAGGGCAAAGGATCCAAGGAGGCAAAGACAAAGGAAAGGAAGGAAAAGGTTTCGATCCTAGAGGTAAAGGAAAAGGAACTTCCGAAGAGACTCGCACATGCAACCAGCGAGGCCATCTTTCGTCAGACGTCAGACTGTCCACATCGTGCCAAAGGTGACAAGCAAGGTACAGGTTCCAAAGGAGGAAAAGGCACGGAAAAGGGAAGCAGGGGAGATAAAGGAAAGAAGGGAGATCAGAAAGGTGGTAAGCCAAAGGGAAAGAGAGCAACCGAGTTTTCTTCGTTCCAACCAGAGTCCGAAGCCGGTATAGTGAGTGGTCGGAGCCGGATATCGAAGACGGTGGTCGATTGTCGGTCTTGGTCGGTTTTTATGAGCTTTCTTCATTTGTCAAAGCCAAGAAATGAGCGATCCCCATCTATGGTTGGTGGATTCCGGCGCTAGCAAGACCGTTGTCTCGATCGAATCGTTGTCAGCATACCGAGTACTTCGTGAACGTACTCTCACCTCACCAATCCAGTTCAGACGGCTTCAGGAGAACAAGTTCAGATTGCACATGAATGCATGTTGGAAGTGTACTTTCCAACCATCATCGAACATGATGACCACGACAAGACGAAACTTGTTCGCTATGAGATTCGTGCAGTGGTGGGACCGGTTGAACACAACTTGTTGAATTTGGACCTGAAGGTTGCCATGTCAGGGTGGGGGATATCCGAAGGATGGAATGTGAGATTTGGGCAAATGTGCCTTGGTTGCGCGCCCATCGTCGCAAGACTTGAAACAAGGGGTCACGCACTTGAGGCCTGGTCTGAGCCCTCATCCGATGCCTCACCAAAGAGTTCATGTTCAGGCAAGTCCCCAAAAGCTTCGGATCGTTCGATCTTAGTGTCGCCTGAAACGACCGTTCGAAGTCCTTCCAAAGGAAATCATATGTGACAGTGTTGAAATTCGATGACATTCCTGAAGTGCAAGTCTTTGAGATTGCCGGAGCGAAACATGAGCCCAATCGTAAGTTGACATGTCCAACCAAGTCTTCGGTTCTTCATGTACTTGATCAGCCATTGCCGGAACCAGGTGAAATGGACATTGAAATCAATGAGAAGTCAGAGCCTTGTGCAACTTCAGACGCATCGTTCCCTAGCTTCTCAAAGAAGATCGAAAAGGAACTTTCGATGCACCGAAGGAGAGGACACATCCCGTATGATCGACGTTGCACCCATTGTTTGAGGAGTCGTTCAACCATACATCATGCACGAACCAAAGAATCGGACCCACCTATTGATCACAAGCTGTTTTTGGTGCAAGCTGACTACTTTTTCATCGATAAGTACAAGTTTATGTTACTTGCTGAAGGAAGTTCGGGATTGATCGGGGTAGCTTCTTGTGGATTGAACACGGATGCCGCATTGGCCGACTGCAGGAAGTACTTCGCCCAATTGGGAGTCACCGAAACCAATTCGATGTCGGTCGAGATCCTTACGGATTCCGAAGTTGCATTAGGAAATGTTCTCAAGAAGCTCCATTGATCATCAAAGCGGCCGCACCTCAAAGTCACCAAACGGTGGGCCTTGCCGAGCGTAACGTGCGACGGATGAAGGACATGGTGTCTTGTTTAAGGAGTGCTGGAACTGAGGACAGTTACCATCGCATGTTATGTTACATCTCGCAAACACACAACCACTTTGGGGTTGGCAGTACGACCGGAATCTCGTCAGGACTCGAAAATCGTCGAACGCCAATCGAGTTGTTGCTACAGAAGGATCGCCCCAAACCAGTCACAAGCCTGTTTGGAAGCATTTGTATGGCCAAAGGCCCGGAGTCGCTCGTCGATCAGATCCCCGAGAAAAGCCGATTCATACCTGCTGCATGCATGTACATCAAACCCAACAGTTTGGCGCATGTTGTGACCACCCAGATCTCAGGGAAAGAACACACAATTCAGGCAGAGGTGAAGCCGCTCGATCGTTTGATGTGGGACACATGCTTGTCCATCGATTCTCAAGGAAATCCCGAAGACATCAAGCTCAGAGCTGCCTTCGAGCGAATCTATGGGGCCGCCAATGGCCATTGGATGATCAGGTCGGGGCCGGTGAAGCACTTCCGTCGACTGGTCCGCCCCGTCCGTGGATTCAACAATGCGGTCCAACTCCTGATTGCACAGCTTGCAGTGCATCCAGTAGACATGGTCGTAAACACTCTCCTGCTTGCTGTAGACGTTATAGGGACTGGGTAGAGTCAGAGCGTCGTCGGCTGAGTGAGTCATCCAAAGGTCAGGAAGATCCATCATCAGGTCATCAGGCAGGTTCAGAGGTCCTTCCCAAGCCAGATCATCCTACAGGGCACATTCGAGAAGAAGCCTCCCGTCTCAGGTGACAGGGAATCCGCTCCTGAGAGATGGCCGGCTTCCGGACGCGTCGAATGCTGCTGATGTTCGCTGGGATCCTCCCGCCTCCATGGAAGTGGAC